ACTTAATGATCATTTAATATATTTAAGTATATATCTACAATTTTATCCTTTCACCCTTTCATCTTCTTTTTTCCTTTTATATTTATTTATTATTTATTAATAATATATTATTTGCCCCCCCAAGATCAATGGTCAAGATCTCGCCACTATCTACCAAAATTTGTCATTAATCTACTAACCGCTCTCACTACTTGTGCAATGTCCGGTCTTGTACCGATTATGACATTCATAAGACTTCTCACTATCGATGCATACAGTACTCGAGACATCATCCTCCATGCTTCATTGTTAGGACTGATACTTGAGGATAACTTGATAGAAACTGGGGTAGAAACTGGTGGCTTACTCCTTTGCATGTTGAAGCACTGTAAGACATTCAGTAAGTAATTCTTCTGATAAAGCCATACCTTCTTATCTTTTTTGCCTCAGTGAATTTACATCCGTAAAATCTTGTTTGTTGGTCCCTAGTTCTTCATATCAGATTTTCTAGCCAACTATGTCTTCAAAATCTGGATTCGAACTTTGTTGGAGCCTTCCACCAACATGTCATCCACATACAACGAAAAAATGATAACATCATTTTCATCAAATCTATTGTAATAGGTACAATAGTCTGAACTTAGTCTGTTGTAATCAAGGGTAATCATGAAAAATCAAATCTCTTATACTAACACCTGGACACCCAGTTTAAACCGTACATAGATTTGGTTATCCTGCAAACAAAGTTTTCTTTTTCTTTAAGTCTTCTGGTTGGAGTACACCAATCAATCATTTCTCTAAAATCATTTTCATCAAATCCATTGTAATAGGCACAATAGTCTGCACTTAGTTTGTTGTAATCAAGGCTAATAATGAAGAATAAAATATCTTATACTAACATTTGAACACCCGGTTTAAATCGTATATAGATTTGGTCAACCTGTAAACCAAGTTTCATTTTTCTTTAAGTCTTCTGGTTGGAGCACACCAATCATTTCTCTAAATTCACCTTAAAGAAAAATAATATTTGTATCACCGCTAACAATAACTGTGTGGATAGTGGGGATCCATAGGAAATACCCCTTCTCATTGTTAGTATAGTCCAAAAATTTGCCTTTCCCGAACTTTGAAAACACATACTTCATCTTGATGCGGTACACCCATAATCTCCTAGATTAATCATTGTTATCACTAACATAAAATATTTGACCTCTCCTAAGGATAATACTGACGATTCCAACACATAATAATAAACCAAGTCCAATATGGGTTTCCTCCTAATACAATTTGACGAGAGACTCCCAAATCTCCTTTATTGTACCTTTTTCTACAAATTTGTTATAGCGTTGTTATTAATTTCTTCCCACCTTCGATCTATGATGCCCACAGTCTTTTTCCAATTATTTTTACACAATTGTCTTTTCTCAAAATTGTTTTCATCTTCAATTTCCACAATGAGAAACTACTTTCATTAAACTTCTCTATCTCATATTTTGTTGTCATAGTTTTAACCGATTATGCACCTTTCATTATGAATAATATTGCATATTGGAACAACACAACGTAAACCGTAACTAATACACCAGATAAGATCCCAAGAAAGAGAGATGAGTCACTAATAGACACATTTAAATATCAAGTATTTCCTTACCAGAACTTTTCCTAAACATGTACTGCCACACTTTATAAACAATAAATAAACAATGTTAGGAATCAAAGTAACTGCATAAAAATGTTAGGAATCAGAGTAACTGCATAAAAACTCAACTAAAAACCATCGGCTCTGAACCAATGTTAGGAATCAAAGCAATTGCATAAAAACTCAAATAAAAGAGAGAAAAGAGAAACAAAACCGACAATAGATAATAATAAAATTTTACTATCAGAATAAATTATAACACCCTCTTTAAATCTAAGGAGAAAATAATAATAATATTCTCTCTCAGAAATAAGAGAACTCAACTACCATGTAATGTATTAGTAGAAATAAGAAGGAAGAAATTTTGGATGATTTATAAGGTAGATGGTGCTCCTTTTATAACAGAAAAGTAAACACTAATATATAATTTTTCTCTTCTCATATTCTCACATATTTTATAGTGTTTGTATATTACATACACGATAACAATTATTGATAGAACCATTATTGTATGTCTTATTACAATTTTCAACTTCGTTCATTATGTTCATTTTATCTTTGTGTGTGCACTTATCTTATCATCTTCTCTCTCTCTCTTTTCTCTTCTATTCCGTTGCAACTCTTCTCTTCTTCCTTTGTTCTTAGTTATTAACTCTTTTCTTTTTAGTCTCTCTCTTTCTTAAAAGATTTATCTCCACCAAATATATCTCAAACACACTTAAAGTTGTCATAAGAGAGAACAATATTGAAAGACAATGTTTTATTGAGACAAAGGTAGATGACAATGTTTTGCTGGACGCATTGAAATTGAGTCATAAGAGCAATATTGAGAGAATTGTGAAAGCTTATAGGTCTGTTGTGACAAAACAGTGAAGAAGTAATAATAAGGGAACAAGGTTATCCTGAGAAAACCTTCTAAGTTTATATATATATATATATATATATATATATATATATATATATATATATATATATATATATATATATTACGATGCAGCTTATAAATTTATTGCGATGGAAAAAATGAAATTTTTTAACATACAACAATATTTATAATTATAATTGTCGTTGTATGAATAAATTTTAACGACGGTTTAAAACCTTTATTAATTTTTAAATAACAACTCAAAATTTGTGGTTATAACTTTTTTAACCTGTTATAAAAAAATATTATTTATAGTATTGTTAACCAATTATAGCAACTTTCTCTATGAAAAAGAAAAATCCAAATATTAGATGATGTATGTATTGTTTTCACTTTCAAACCAAAGGAGAGAATGAATCCTCTTCATCAGATAATATATATGCTCCTCTTCCCAAGCTGATTTTTTGTTTGGATTATGCTAGAAGCAACCGGCGAGACAAAGACAAGAATTTTTATGGAGGTTTCATACTCCACATCATATTGAAAAAACCATTCCTTCTATAATCACCAACACAATTTAAGGTAGAATATGCATCCTCAATAAAATAATACTAAGAGATCCTCCTAACGACCTCCTATCTCCACACAAATCTGTTCCAAACTCCCATTTCTGAAACTGTTGCAGATTTAAGAGTTGATAAAACATACATTCCGAGAAACTGATAAATTAATCTACCATCTTAACAAAAGTTAAATAATTTACTATCACCAAGAGAACATACAAGTGTATTCCAGAACCAATTATTCATCCAACAATTGCAGCATGTTCTTCCAGCACTGGGACATGAGTTCCAACTCACAGGTAGACTATTATGTCTAGATCTTGAAGGATGTGTGCATCAGTGAACATTAATATTTTTCTCAAGCATGTAAGAAATAAAAGTAATGCCAAAATAATAGGGATTGGTATCTTTATTTTTACTATTGTACTAAACTTTTAACTCTCTGAAAAAGGGTCTCATTTGTTTTTCTATTTCATTTTGATTTAATTTTGCTTTTATTCTAAAAGTTAACTTTCATCACTTATTTACCATGATACCATGAGGATATTAATAAACTAAACATTTTTTTTTAAATTTGACTCTTTCAAAAATGAAAAAAGTGTAAAAAAAGTAAAGACATGTCAACGTACAAGTACTTAATTTAAATTAATATCTCATAATTAAACATACCCACTTCAAAGTTGACCCAATCCTTGTTTTACTCATACTTCCTTAGTTAAGAGTTAAATCTTACTTTCATTAACACATTATTGGGAGAATGTTAACATATCTCTCTCTCTCTCTCTCTCTCTCTCTCTCTCTATCTATATATATATATATATATATATATATATATATATATATATATATATATATATAATCACTTTACACTCTTTTTAATAATGTTTATTATTTGATGAAGTTAATTTATATGAATCTTATTTATATGAAGTGAGTAAGTCATATTTGACAAAAATTATGTAAATTCTAATTTATAAAAAATAATATATTGATAACAGTGTCTTGACATGCTTAAAATTATGATTAAAAGAATGAGTAACCATTTTCGGCCTTTAAAAGTCTTCATTTACATTTTTTTTTCATTTGAAATTTTTTTATATATTATTGAATCATACCGAAGGATATGGCTGCAAACTACAAATTAAATTTCATGTATAAAATAATTATAATATTTACGTGTCTAAATATGAAAAATAAAATCATTGTTCTCATATATATATATATATATATATATATATATATATATATCATTTCAATTATTTTTTTATGCAAAAAGTTCTAGTTAATTTCTGTAAAGATCTATGAACTATTTGAAAGGACTGATATTAAAAAAAAGAATGATATTAGTGTTTTTTTCACTATAATTTTAATAAAAATACTTTATCCATTAATTATTTAACCATTTGCAAAAAAAAAACAGAGAAATTATTTATGTACAGTAATTCATACAATATACTGTTTGCATTTATTTCTTCTTTAGATATTACTTTATTACGTCATAATAATAAAAAGATAAATATAGAAAAATAATGTCGTATAAATTATATTATATATGTATCACATAGCTAAAAAACTAAGTTTTAGAATATAACTATATATATATATATATATATATATATATATATATATATATATATATATATATATATATATATATATATATATATATATATATATACATCTTTCTGATCATAAACATGTTAATAATTATGCTTATGCCCGATAGACTTATTAAAAAGACATTAGTTTATTCTATACAGTTCTACCAACCATGGTTTGTAAAAGCATGTAATATCAGAAACATATTTATCACTCTTTTACTGACACTTCTGATGCGAAGAAATGTGAGTTTACCTGAAGTGTAAGAACCATTATTTTGAATTATGGAAACAATAGACAGAAAAGATAGCTAGGTTTTCAACAAACAGCATAGTACTTACACTTAACAATAGGTTCAATTCTTGCCATGAAAATCACTCCCTCTAAAAAAGCAAGAACCATAATACTCTCCCTCCTTGGATCCACTCGTGTCATCTCCAATCTGTTGATCAGACTCAGTCACAGAAGTGGACGAGGATGAGAAGAAAGTTGAAGAACTCGAATCATGGAATGACTCATTGGGATTATGATGGTGGTGGGGGTGAAGGCCTGAAGCAACACGTTGTAGATCATCATCATCCCTACTCCAAAGAATCTGGGCGTACTGCATTAGATTTGGGAACCCTTCTTCTTGTGATGGTGAGAACAAGGGTTGTGGTTGATAAACTGGTGAAGGTGTTGGTGCAAGAGGTGAAGAAGGAGCATAATAACTATTATTGTAGTTAATATTTTGAATAGAAGGTGAAGGTGTTGGTGGTATTGGAGCAAGAAGAACGTGTTCTGGGAAATTGAGTTTAGCTTTGGATCCTTTGAACTTCAACGCAGCAGCATCATAAGCAGCAGCTGCAGCCTCTGCCGTGTCAAACGTGCCAAGCCACACTCTAGCAGCCTTTTTAGGGTCCCGGATTTCGGCAGCCCATTTCCCCCATGGTCTCTGCCTAACTCCTCTATAGTGTCTTTTTCTCCCTTTGAATTATTGCACACAATAGTAACAATATCAATGACAACAATGCTTTAGTTAGGCACACATTTTTGGTTTGGTCCAATTTGTCATTTATGAAAACACAACAACTAGCTACCCTAAGAAATTATAGTGCCAATGGAAAATATTGCTCACTGAAAATGCCTACCTACTTGTCTCCACAATTAACATCATTATAAGATAGACACCAACTTGTATATATATTGAAGGGATCAAGATCCATAAGGCAGGTGTGAGAGTGGCATTTCAACTGGTTTGGCTTGGCATGTTTTTCAAGGTAAAACATATTTTACATGTGCATCAAACCAACAACCTTTTCCATTTTTTGTTTTAAAAAATACAAGATATGTGTCCCCTTTTTTTCTTTCTTTTCAAGGAGAGATTCAGATTTTCTAATTGCACTAAGAGTATCGATGAAAACAATTTCATAAATATTTTGAAACCCATTTAAATAAGTAGATCTTTATCATGATCTACTTTTATATATATACATATATATGTTTGGAGTTCAAAAAACTAAAGGAGAAAAGAAAGTGACCCTGATGAAACTATTGATAAATAGGGTTGGATAGTATAACATAGATGGCAATATAGATTGAAAAGAAAAAAGTTAGTGCATGAACCTGGCAAATTTACCTTCATTTAAAGGCTGCTGAGATGGGTCCTGAGTCTCAATCAAGCTAGAAGTGGTTATTTGGCCATGTTGTGGGATTGGTGTAGGGGTGCTATCATGACCAGTATTGATTGGATGTACATAGGGGAATGAAGAAGCTTCTTCCCCTTGTTGGGTAGGGAAGTTGAAACCTTCCCTTTTCTCCCTTGATGCATGATCAGAAGGGAGAGGCCTCTTTCCATGCCTTCGATCCACCTTGTTCAACTCTATGAAAGGTTCTTCTATGGTCTTATATCTATCAACACAGTAAATTCATTGACCTCTTTTCTCTCTCTTGATGAAGACCTTGCAGCTATATATGCCAAAGCAGATCTAGAATTTCTCAAAGAGAAGAGTGATGATAGAATATAAACCAAACCAATCTCAAAATAAGGATACTCTTATCATCATCTTTTAAATAAGAAAGAGGAGTTAAAAAAAGGAATATTTACTAAGGGAAAAGAAAAAGATAACCTTGCTTGTTACTTTGAGGTCACGTTTATTTCTCCATTGGAAATGAGAGAGAGAGAGAGAAAAAGAGCTTATGAGTTTCGTTAGTCCAAAAGAAGGAAGAGCTATTAGGTTCCTTGTTTTTCTTTGTAAATAGTTTATTTTTTTTAATCTTAATTTCGCTTTATTCAATATTTAAATTTTGTTATTTTACAAGAAATCAATTTACAACTAAAATGTTATTATATTAAATTTCAGTCATTCATTTATTTTTCTTATATTTTATTTTTTAAAACATAAATATAATAAAAGTTATGAATTTTAAAAAAATAACCCACGAAGATAATTCAATCAAGCTGGGATGAAAACGAATGGCATGTATCTTCATGACTGTTTTTTTTTTCCTTTTACGTTTTTTCTGATTTCCAATTTTCTTATAATGTTTTAAAGTGGAGAAGAAAATAAATTATATGAAAAATTCATAAATAACTGAGATTAGGTAAAGTGGTATTTGGGATCACTTTCTATTAGTGTAAGTTAATCCAAACTTAATAAAAAGGAGTAACAGAAGATGGTAGAATTTAAGAATTAATTATGATAAAAACTAAAGGTTGAGTCTTTTTTTTTTTCCATTGAATTCTTCTAGATTTTGATAAAGAGGTACTGCTAGAATTAGATACATGGGAAAAAGCTTGCTGTTAGGTCTATTTAACTTATTTTTTTAAATGGGTCATGAGCTAAGAAAAATATGAACCCATTTAAAAAGTGGCCTTTTTGTTTTTTTTTAGCCTATATATCACCACATAAATGGGTTGGATCAATGAGTGAATGCTCATAGAGAACCTTGTTTTAACTAAATTTTGAAACAAAAAATTAGTATTTTCTTTTAATTTGGCACTTAGGATCATTTCGATTTCAATTCTACTTACATCTACCATCTTTTGTTTTGCCTCACATTTCTAATTTTTATTTTTCTTTCTTTTTAAAATGAAAAGATTGAAAAAAATTTGTCGTTTCATATTTTATTTTTAATTTTTCCTTCACACCCATCATATTTTTCTTCGTTATCCATTCAAGTTTCTCTCTATTTCCAAACGTAGAATAAGGCTCAAACTTTATCTCTATATCATCTTTCTCGTTCTAATGTCTATTTGAGTTCTTCTCTATCTCACAATCTCCTTCCTCCTTCACTTTCTATGTCACATTCAATAGCAACACACTAAAATGTGTATAAACACCATTTCATTTTAGAGCTAGTTTGCAAAATTAAAGCCAACAACAATATTATATTTTAGTAATTTATAGTTATGATGTCTATGAAAGGAGTATTTATGGAATATGCAACTATTTTAGATGAATCATGTGGGGAGTCACTAATGGCAATATTCAAACTATGATAAATTTTATGGACTTTCTATTTTTATTAGCCACCTATAACTTGTAGGTCAATTTTGGGATGCTTTGATTAGTCTTCTTCATATTTCTGTATTACAACTTAATTAGTAAGTTTCCAATAACAAATGAATAAAATTTTAGTAACATATTCATTTGGGAAGTTTAAATACATATAATATATACATCATTTTTTAAATGTATTTAAAATTACATATAATGAATTTCTTAGTCTAAAAGATACAATCACCCTATTGATAACATATTAGATAATAATAATAATGTTAATTGATTCGCGAGGATAAATTTCTAAGTCAATGCATGGTTCATCTTCAACAAATTTAATAATGCTACTTTTGGTAGAAGAAATTGAGATAGTCTTGTCGATGGAAGATAATGATGTAACATGTTGACCATCCATTTATATCATATTATTTATTGTAAATGATTAAAATTTTATTATAAATTTTACACTTTAAAACAATAAGTACATCTTGAACCTTTTTCACAATATATTTGAAGCATTATTTAATATCTCAATCTATAATGAACATACAATTGTAATAGGTAAAAGAAAATGAACTCTCATATTTAAATGTTGATTTAACAACAAACTTCTAGACGTTTTTGAATTGCTCATATATGCCATAAATAATTTAAAGTTTAGTCCTTAATTTTTTTTTCAAGTGCTGATTTTTCTACGAATTTGGTGTATTTGTTTTTTAAAATGTGTCAAAATAAATAAATTTTAAAAAATTACGAAATTGATTAAATTTAAAACAAAGGAGTCGTGCTTAATTAGACGACTTTAATTTATATATTTCTTATTTTAGATAAAAATTATATTATGTAATACTATTTTTATTTTTTTAATAATTTATTATTATTATAAATAAATAAAAGTATAATAATATTTTTATATTATTAATATATTTAATAATAACTATTATTATTATTATTTTTAATTTAATTATATAATTAATATTGTTATATTAATAATAAAAATATTTTTATTTTAAATTTTACTATGATATAATAATAATAGTAATATTAATATCATAATAGATTGATAATTATTTTTAATTATATAAATAATATAACATAGTCATTATTTATTTTATTAAAATAATAATAATTATTATTAAATATATTAATAATATAAAAATATTATTATTATTTCATTTATTTATAATAATAATAAATTATTAAAAAAATAAAAAGATAGAAGTAGTACTACTTTTATATAAATCAATTATATAGAAATTATACTATATAATACGATTTCTATCTAAAAATTAAAAAAAATTATATCAAAATCTGATTAAAATGATTTTTTATAATTTATCTATTTTAATAAATTAAAAAAAATTACACCAAATTTATCGAGAATGGTTTACATTTGTCTCTTTTGGACTTGTCTCTTTGGACTTATCTCATGCTTTAGCATAAGATACTAAAATTTAGCCTTTGTATATTTGACTCCAAATTATTATCAACATTCTTCCATCACGATATAATGTAAATTTATTTTTTCTTGAACCAAAATAACTTAAATAAATAAATTAATAATAATAATAATAATAATTGGTGAGATTCTAACCTAAAACTAATTCGTAATATATGGATTAGGTTTAACAGATATTGAATCATAGTATTTAAATCATACTACATGATATGAGGTAAGTAACGTGAGACTTCCAATACACTCCCTCCAATAAAGTCTGTCGGACGAGAAAAATGGTACTCCTCATATTGTCAATTAGTTTTATATTAGAACCATAATAATATGGTATCAGAGTCAAAGTCTAACTTTCTTCCGATTATTATCCTAGGTCAAGAGTTGTCCTTTAATTGTGGGTCAAAATACCTTTTGCTTGGTTCGACAAAGTTCATTGGAGAGGACGTGTTGAAAGTCCTACATTAAAGACCTATTAGGTTATTTTTCATATTGTCAATTAATTTTATGATGAAATCTTAATAATGATGATGACACTAGTGCAGATAAGAGTTTTTACATATATTATTTTGGTTTTTTTATGTTAGACATAAGTCTGACGTTAATGCGGGAGACGTAAATTTACATCAGATATAAAAATCAATGTCAATTTACGTAAGTTATGTGGACAACTGATGTCAATTTGCACTAGAGAAGGCAAGAAACTGACTAAAAAGGTTTCCAATATTAAAAAATGGGACAAAATTTACATTGGTGTGATAATATCCGACGTAAATTTACATAGGACCAGGTCATAACAAACATAAATTTCGCTCCTTTTTTTAATATTCAGTTTGTTTTGTCTTACAACCTAAATCCTATAAACATATTCTAACCACAAACAATGCAGATTTCAAATTTTCAATAGATAGTAATTTAAAAGACAACAATACAATACAATACAAACTATAAAAGTTAAACTAGTGCAAAGACTAAACTACTTAAAAACTAAATATTACAAAGTTAAACTAATACAAAAACTAAACTAGTACAACAACAAAGCTACTGTGTTAAACTACATAATACAATACAATATAATACAAATAATAACCTAAAACTAAGTACAAAAAAGGTTGAACGAAAAACTTTGTTCATTGCTCTCTAATTTATGTAATATCATGTTCTGATAATGGAGAAAGATCTTGAAATACCTGAAATATTAATTTGACTCATGTTAACATGTAATACGCATAAAGGTAAATCAACTTAACAAATGTTGAAAGCAATTACCTCCTTTCAAGAATCAATTATACCAGCACAAATTATGACTATCATCCAATACATGATATAGTAGTCACATTCAAAGGAGCCAGTTTGTTTATTACACTAAAATGAGAAACAAAAACATAATATTATTTTCAAAATTTAAATACAAATAATAATTATGATATTTATATAAATAAGTTTATAATCTTAGGATAAATAAATTGTAAATTTTTTGTTCTGAGTCTTCCATTTAGAGCATTAGTTCCGATACACGATTCTAATTGAAATAAACTAAGATGTTATTTAATATATATTTATACTTCAAAAACATAATAAAAAAGAAGAAGATAAAGTTACCCTTGTAGCAGATTTTTTTAATTTCTTGACTTGGTTTTCGGTGTAATGAACAAAACTACGCCGTAGTGTAATATATGGGAATTATTACAATTAACTACCAATGAAACATACATTATATGACATAAAAATTAGCTATAAAAGTAATGTGATTAAAAATTACAAATTAGTATATGAAGTCAAGTATATATGTCTTTGTGAGTCACTCATCCATGTTTGGATATATTGTTGGATTCCAACCTTTGTATTTCTAGATTTTTGGATGGATTGAGGCTCAATAAATCCATATACTTCAGATTTTTCTTACTTCACACTTAATTTGTCAATGTACCTAACAGAATGAATTATAAGTTAAATATAGTTATTATAATGTTAGAAACATAAATGAAAATGACTTACATGACCCATAATTGTATGATGGAAATATTTAATATGCAGTTTTCCCCAACAATTTTTAATATGTTGGGCAAGAAAATATACAGTGGAACAACAAAATTGTCAACTTCAAACACTCTAGTGTTTCACTATATCCGACAACCGTGGTAATATGGTCAACAACATAGATATGCGATCATCCTCATATTCTATGATGTCCTCATCAATAACAGATTGTCTTTTATGCTTCTCACAACGAATAAACTCCTAAACAAATGATAACAATTAATTAAACATTCATATAATTATAAGAAGAGAAAAGAAGAGAAAATACACAATATATACATTATCTTTGTCTGTGTTAAGAGTGACATCACCAAACATCTTGACAAAATCAAGAATGTGTCGCTTCTTGCCCCACTAGTTGAATACCTTCATTGGGAAAAGGCACTAAAGCATCAACATCATGAACTTCATCAATTATTACCCGCATCCAGACTGCCTGTAGAAGGACACCATGGATGATTAAGTCACCCTAAAAAACTCGACCAAAAATCACTAAACGCGGGGGGGTCTTCTTTAACATATAACTCACACTGATGTGGTGTATTAGTGTAAGTATATTCCCCTGAGGGATTTGCAAGAGCAACAACACAACTCCTTTTAGTGCTGACTCGAACAACATTATCTTGAAATATATGAGGTGTTCCTTGAGTATTTTTTTAGAGCGGATAAGAGATTTATGTTTCTCATCAAACTTTTGCTACAAAAATTGTCATATCTGATTTACCTTTTCTTCAAATTTCCTCCATTTTATGCAAGACCTCCTGACTGCAAGAATCGGCAGTGGTCCTCTATGATATGGACCAAAGCAATCACGGAGACCCAGGATCCACTAGTACCACACACACGTCCTGGGTACTTTGGTCTTCCTATTGTCATTATCAATATGTCTTCTCGACCATGGGGAATAAATGATCCTTAGATGGTCTGCTCAACTAAATCATCCTGCAACACATTAACAATAAGTAAGTGATACACTAACTTAAGTATGAATTAATTGAAATTTACATTATAACTTATAATTTCTCAACAATGATTCATGCAGATTCAGATCTCATTTGTCTATCAGATCTTGTCTGAACTGCCCTCCTCATCACATAGCGAGGGGATGGAGATGCATGGTCAGCAAACTCAACTCCTGCTGACTCTGCTCTAGCTTTCATGAGACATTGCTCTAACAATGCATACTTTCCCCGTGACAATAGATGGGGTGCATCATTCAACTTCCGAGGTTCCTGGGTAGCTAGTCTTTTATCCTATAACGCAAATAATAAAATTAAAGTAGTACATTAGGTGTTATTAAGGTTTGAATTACTAAGAACTAACCTACTAAGATGAGTCGAATCGACTGACACAAAACTGCAACCACTTCTCCTTACTAATCTGATACTTTAGATAGGGAAATTCATTTTGATACTTTCTAAATACATACTCTCGTATCAAGAAAGTCTTAAAATTTCTTCATCTAGTGGAAATGGAGGATAAATCTTCTTCCTCATCACCTCATTGTTAGGAATGTCAAAATTTTGCTGTCAAATTACCAAGAAATGTTAAATTCAATTATTGATATATAAAGTGTTTAACAAATTTAAAAATACCTGAATATCTTCCCACATGAGGTTCTTCTCGATCTCCTCTACATCATCCCAAGATGGAATATTAATCGAAAGATGGTGTGAAGCTAGGAGTCCTAAATAACTCCTAAACTTAGCAGCATTTGGGTCAGACACCTTACCAAAATGTGAATCGATGTCAACTTGACTTTTCTTTCTAGCAACACGACTTACTGTCAACCCCTTCAACTGGGTGACAGATCTACCTCCACCTTCACTCTTGTTACTTCCACACGAGATGTAAAATCCGACATATCCTGAAAAACAAAACAATACAATTAATAAATTTCAACAAAACGAAGATAACAATATGAAGTCAACATACTTAATAAATTTAAACAAAAAGAAGACAACAATATGAAGATAAACACTTATTAAGTTGATATGTTTTTCCATATCTCTTCATCATGATCACTTCAAATTGCATGTATGTCATCCACTTCATTATCAACAAGGTCATCAAATATTCTACTTGAAAATGAGGGTGTCTCATGTATATCTACAGACTTGTCTTTGTGAATTCCCTGCATGTTTCTTCCTTCAAGGACAATTGACGATCTCTCATTACATGGATCTTTGACATAAAATATTTTCCTTGCTTGATATGTCATAATAAAAGGTTCATCCTTTTACCCGACCTTGCTCAAATCAACCAAACTAAATCCCACATCATTTGTCCACACACCCATATTACCCTCAACCCATTTATACTTGAACACAGACACCCTGAACATAACATAACCATTTTACCATATCTCGCGTATATCCCCAAGTTCATGATGAATTTGATTCAAACAATGAATACTTGGACAATAATATGTCCCTTTGATAGGTTTTCCATTTTCACGAACAAATTTCAAAAATTCTTCAACTCCCTTTTTGTACTCTTCACTAATATGATGTGCATTCATCCAACTCCGATTCATACCTACCTATGTTATAAATTTTCGTCACTCTTAGAGATACAAAAAACAAATTCATATTAAAAAAAATTAATATACAAATAACAAAAAACGTGAGGTTCAAACGACTAAATTGTAAAAACATAAAAATGCAGTATATAAACCGTATATGCACTTGAATGAATAAATGGAAAATCATAAACTACAACAGTTCAATTTCAATAACAATCAAGTGGAGACATTCATGCAATAACGTGATTAAGATCCCAAAATCAATCACGTATTCAATTTGAACATAAAAGAAGAGACATAGAACACTAACATTGAATATACAAAAAACGCTCTAAAGCTCAAATCCAACCGAAGAGAAATGTCAACCACCACAAATGGGACACAATGTAGGTGTTTTTGTTACTCACCGTGGTTGAAATAAAGCCTAAAAGGTGTTGGAATGGTTGTTACCGTCGTTGTCCTCGAAAATCCTTACGCACACGAGGAATAAGAAGCCCTAGGTGAAAATAAAATGTGACTTTTACGTCAAACCTCATAGGGACGACGTAAAAGTTGTATCTATTATTTATAAAATGTCATCACATTTTTTTTAGTCGAATATTTTTTAGTCTGACGAGAAATGGGTGATGTAGAAAGCCCTTTTTGCACTAATATGATGAAGATGACGACAATCCATTTATTTTAAAAGTAAGTGAAAGAGATGTATTTATTTATTTTTAAATAAATGATCTGAAATGATAACTCATCTTTCTTAGCCTTAAACAATAAGATGATCTCAAGTTCTACGTTAGCTAAAGACTATATCCATATATAATTAAATTTTATATATTTAACTTGTGTCTAAAAATATAGGTAGATAGGAGTCACACTTGAATCATTCTAAGCTATCAACATGTCATTCGATGGTCACTTACTAATCAACACATCTTTTAATGGTAAGTAGATTAGTTAGTAATCAACTTTGTTTGATAAAGCCAAGTTGACTAAACATGTCATCAACCTTGTATGATGAAACAAACTCGACCCATCCTATATCACATCATCAGACTTGACTACTAAAGTTCAAGTGAAATCAAGTTACATGTCATCTAATAATATACTCAACATACCAATGATGACTACGAGACTCAATCCATAATACATGTTAATTGATCAACCTAAAAGACTAGATATTACTATCAAACTCAACTAATGTTAATAGATGCTCAAGTTATATTTATATAGTGTATCGTTTGATACACTCAAGAGACTATACTATAATAATAAAATTCAATGAAGACTTATTAATTATATTAAATTGGTGAACAAACTAGGCTCGTTACACTAATGTTTACTTGAAGTTATTGCACAATATTTAAATTTAGAAAGAAAAAAGACACAAACTCCAAAAATTCTACTCATGCTTAAGTCAACATTCTTTATTGGAAGATACTAAGAATAAAACATATAATAGTTCTATGACATTTTTTGTAAGTTTTAATCCTGCTCCGTAATTATTAATATAAGTTGTCACACATTTTGATAAACCTAAAAATCGTAAGTTCTACTCAATAGAATTAATTATTGTCGCATGTGTTGTTTTATATAAATATTATAAATAGAAATACAACAATACAAAGAGATCATGAAACAAAAATCACACTTATGAAAATCAAATATTTTTATTTTCTCTCTTAGATATTAGTTTATGTTATTCACATTTTAAACAAGAACACTTTATTATTCTTAAAATATTTTTATAAAACTTTTATAAATATCAAATAACACTTTTGAATGGTCTAATCAGACTATTGTTAACCACCAACACTTTTGGATCACATAATATTTTTATGATTAAACAAGACATTTGGATAAACTCTATTCAAATCAAACTTTTTAGAACTAATTTATAATTTCAATTTTAACCATTAAATTATAAGAAATTAAATAATAAAGATGAAAAGTAAACTTCTTAACCATCAAATCCCTTTTTTAGATATTTTTCTACATTAAACTACATGTCAAAAACTCCACCACATTGCCACTTTTGTGACCATTATATAAGTGAAACAAATCATGCTTTAAACGAGAATTCCTATGCTTCAGGTGAAAGCATGAATTAGGATCGCTTTAAATGACGAAGGACGCACTTTAAATAAGGGTAATTATATAAAATTTTATAATACTTTATTTTGCTATTAGTAATATATTAAAATCATTTTCAAATCAACAAAAACTCCTAAAATATATTGAATCTTGATAATTTACGAATTTCAAATTCTTTTTACATGGTTTATTTTTCTGTCTAGCTTTTAAGTTATTAAGCAACTAACTATTTTTATTTTTAAATTGGTATGTACTTCGATGTTTGTGATATTTAGTCTAATGATAAAATTGAATATTCTTTCTTAATTATCTTTTTAGATTGGTGGATTCCAATATATTTAAACAAATAAAAGAAAAATGTTTAAGAAAAATATTAAATAAAATTTCATTAACATGATTTAATATTTAAATTTAGAATCTTATGTTATCTTGTTGTTAGTTTAAGTAAAATTAAATTTAAATATTATAAATAATATATCAAATTTAAATTTTAAGAAGCAAACTAATCTTTTAAGAAAAAATGAAGATATAAGTTAGCCCAATATCTATTTGAAATTGTTAAGATCTTGGAATCATGAAACTGCATAAGTAAACATATACAAGGAATAAATAAAGATATTTGAAAGATTTGTATAAATTGAAATAAAAAATAAATAATATGTTAAACATAGGATTGACCCGCTCTACTTCTAACCCACCAAAATTAAGGCGAGTAGGTTAATCATTCTAACCCACGAAAATTAAGACGAATAAGTTAATCCATTATAATCAGGACGAACTCTCTTTAAAAAGCAAGCTAATGGGCCAAAGGGCCAACTCACCAATAATTTACACCACCGTTAAACATAACAAGACCGTTAACTTCAAACCCTTATTAAAAAAAAAAACTTTGAATACAAAGATTCATACTTGAATTTGTGACTCTTAATTTTCTTATTTATATTGAATACGAGATTTGAGTTCATATTTGAATTCTCAATCTAACAAAACCAAATACTCAGCATCGACCCAACTCAAGTCGTGATTTTGCAAAGAATTTCATGTCGATGTTGTACATTGTACACCTAGCTTTGAAATGCAATACCATAAAAAATAACGAATTTCATTTTAAGTTTAGAAATCAACATTATCAAAGTCACATTGCACTCTACAATTAAATGAAAGAAAGATGGTTTAATGAAGCTGAGTATTCGAGTGCTGCAGTTGGAGCGAGACTGTCCACTGATGCAGCTTCTATTCGACCTTCGACTGGAGATGCAATTTGGAATTCCTTATTCTGGTCGGTAACAATTATTTCGATATATATATATATATTACAGATCTTAACTTATTTTTGGGAAACATTACGTGTTGACTTTATTAACACTTAAAATCATCACTTTAAATGTGTACTTAATCAAGACATAACTAGTTACCGATTGTCATATAAAACTAAGGATGAAAATGTGTTATTTTTAATTTTATAGGCACTAACAAATAAAACTTTACAAGGACTAAACACAAATCTATTAGAAGTTTACATGGGATGAACATGAAAATTTTAAAGTGAATACGGAAAATTTTACAAGGATTAAACACATATAAAGAGAATAAACTTAAAAGTAATTGCAACACTGGTCCCATGTTCACTAGAAGTTTGCAGCAGGTAAATTTCAAAGTGAATAAGCTCAATCTCCCTTAAAAAAATTCAACTCTCTAATGCAACTAATTAACATTGAAATTTTTTTAGTAATAAGTGTACAAGAGACTGAATTCTTCAAAAACAATGTGTGCAGGGTTGTGAAACCGTTGCTGGAAAAATTGGATCTAAATTATCTGGCAGACAAAAGTAACATGTGGCAATTGCAACAGCAATAGTGAAAAATCCAAATACAATACTACTAGATGAAACCAACAATGCCCTTGTTGTTGAGTCTGAAAAAGTAGTTCAGGATGCTGTGGATCAAGTTATGGTGGACAGAACCACAATTATAATAGAACATAGCTTATCCACTAAAAGTGTGCAGATTTAATTGCAGTAGTTAAGAATGGAATCGTTGAAGAGAAAGGAAATCATGAAACATTGATAAACAGGGGTGGTGACTCTGCTTCCATAATAGCATTGAACAACAGTGCATAACTTACTGTCTCCACCACTATCGGTATCACCTCAAATAAACCAAGTCTTTTTTTTTCCTTCTCATCCAATTGACAGGAGTCACGTATGGAATGTTTAAATCTCATGTCCAGTAGTATGAAATATTGAGTACAGTACTTAAGCGGCTAGGTTCTCCCTCCTAAACAGCTAATATGCAAGGGAGGGTTCCCAACCAAGTGCTTGGGTACATAAAAAATATTCGTATCCTATTCCTTTTATATCAATCTCATTAGATAGAAGAGGCAAGAAACGACTGTTCAATTACAAACTTGACAAGAGAATCCACTTTCATGTTCAAGGTAGGTAATTGGAGGCGCAAAGATAAACATAAGAAGATAATTACAATGAATCAAACTACCCAAAACAATATTCAGCAGAGCAATTCTAAAGGCTACTACTATATATCACTTGGAAAACAGCACACAGAAAATCGCGAGTCTCCCACATGGAACTTCAGTATACTCTTTCCAGTACATGAAAATAATGTACCACATTATATCTAAACAAGTTTATAATGATGACAACCAAATGTCAAATTCCAAAGAAAATTCAGATCAGAATTCGAACATAAAGGGCTCTATGAAGAAATTTTCATCACAGCTACACCGAATTGCATAATTCAATCTGAAGTAACTAATTTAAGAGCACGTTATGTTATTATTATTATTATTACTATTAAGCCAAACATAAGAAATATAAAACAGTAACAAATCAATATAAACAAACCAACCCCTTTATACAAAGTAAAGTTTTGTACTCCTAACATTGAAAACAAGAGAAGGTAACAACTTACATTATGAGAAAAACTAGGAACAGACTCTCAGTCACACTCTTTTGAATAAATCCTCTCTCTCATTGGTTGAAATTTATTGAAAATGCAAAATTTGTGTCTCACAGCATGTTTAATTAATCTTTATCCTTATCCAGGTTTAGTAGTTTCTAATATACACCAACTTTCAGAAAAAGAGCGTGTTCAACACTCATCTAACATAATTCACTGAGTGGTGAGAGGCATTACCCCATTACCATTGACAGCATGTTCCACAACAACTCCCTTCTTCCTACCCACATGGTCAACCTCTCGTTTGCCATCACCATCATTATCATCATCTTCATCAGAGTCCAAAGTGAAGTTTGCCGAGTCCTGCAAAGTCTGCATTTCAGCACCAAGCGGGGCGTACCGCGTGGAAACAGACTCAAGGTGACCTCCTCCATTTCTAGCGGAAACAACGGAGAAGAAGCCAACAAGAACCACCACCAAGAGCGCGAGGTGGCAATTGAACTGAAGCGTGGCTATGGCTCTGGCCCTATGATACTCCGGGTGTCCCTTGCACCTCAGCGTGTAGTTCCCTCTGCTCATTCGGTGCAGAGAGCATCCCTGGGCCACCCAGCCTGAGAAGAGGGAGAGGCCCATTTGGAGCAGCCACATTCCGTGGAGAATCAGACCCACGCCGCGGCCCAGTTTGGGAACACTGGAGCGCGGCGATCCCAAATCGAGAAGCGTGCAGAAAACGCATATTGCGATGGGAACCAGCAAGAGGTCGTAGTAACGGTTCTCGACGCCAGAGGGGTCCTTGCGCTGAAGATAGAAGAGAAGAAACTCTTCGGCGAAAGCGAAGACGCCAACTAGGCCAAGCAATGGCGAAGGGAGAGAGAAGAGAGGGAGAAGGGAGTAGAAGAGGAAGATGAACGCGATGGGGAGGACCTGAAGCTGAAGTGCGGTGCCAACGGCGTCGTTTGAGTTGTGTGCGTCGAAAAGGGATACTGTGGAGTTGATGATAAAAAATACGGAGAAGATTGCAAGGGAGATCGAAAATAAGGGTTTGTTGGTTCGGGAATTGGGTGGAGAAGAAGACAAGGAAATTGGAGATTGCTTGGATGGGGAAAGGTGAAGAAGGGCTTGGTGTGCCCCGATGAGAATGAAACCGACGCCTCCCAACCCGAAGGAGAGGAGTTCCATTGATTGAATAACTTCTCTGCCGTGTCTGAGGTCAAATTTGGATCGAGAATGATTTTGGTTGGGGTTTGGGTCAAACTTAAGGGGATGTTGCTAACTTCCTAAAACTTCCCTGTAACCTTCCAACAGCATATCTGTCCAAAAGAAACGAAAGTTGTTATGAATAATTATTTAACCATAAAATTTATTACGTGTTAAAATATTCATAACCTTGCTTTTACAGCTTTTACAAATGTTACTCTCCTAATTAAATTGTTATTATTATTATTAGTCAAAATATAATGTTTTACAAAACTTGTTTTATTATGTTTTTTATTTCAATTTTCTAAAGTTTAATATATATATATATATATATATATATATATATATTAATTTTAAAATAGATTTTTTAAATTATAAATTAATAAAAATAAATAAATATGAGACAATTTTTTTAAAAAGAAACTAAAAATAAAAAATAAATACTATTTTTTTATATATTATTTTATATTCAAGAGAAAAAAGTTATACTGAAATGTACGAAAAAATATATAAAACCGTTTTTAAAATATTAAAAATAAATTATACTTTAATATAACAAATTTATTTAATTTTAAAAAAATAATCAGAGAACATAATTTTCATTATTAATAACTAGTTCAAATTCGGACGTTAAAATATAAAATTTTTTATATTTTTTATAATTAATTTTTAACAAATATTTTTTATTTATTTTTTTAAAATATATAAATCATAGTAATTATATTTTTATAATATATTTAATAAAAAATAATATCATATTATGAATAAAAAAATCTTATATATAATATAAATATAAATTATATATTAATCTTATTATATTTTTTTTCATACTATACATATTTTACTCGTGTAAATATTAATGTAAATTTTATCTTAATTTTATCCTGTTTATGCGTCAATTTTATATTTTCGTAACCTAGATAATGTTGTTGTATTTGCAACATCGACTAACGATAAAATATGCTTAATAATTTTTATCATATATAATCTATCTAATATTGTTATATATGTAATATAGACTATATTAATTAACTATGTTGATAAAGGAAACTTGATTTTATCTTCGTCATAAAAATATTTTTGTTTGTATTCTTCAATTTGCATCTTGAAAAAAAATTATTTTAGAATTTTTAAACGATGAAGTGTATGTGACGAACAATATATTAGAAGATTGGCTCACAAGTGACAACCAACCAACTTGATTATCGAGTCAAGTGTTAAAATCATGAAGAAAAATAAAAAAAGTCAATTTTAAGTGCAAACCTTACCACCAACCTAAAAATTTGGAGTGTGGCCCAACAATTTATTAGGATAAAGTTGGGTATGTTGGGTTTTTCGAGGTGGATTTACTGAAAAAAACAATATCAATAAGATGAGTCTAACCCATATAAAAGATTGACACTACTATCAACCTAAAACCTTAAGACATTGGGTTATGGGTCATATTTTCTTATATGTTGTTCAACTTTCTCAACGTAGGACTTAACTTGGATTGATATCACTTTCAACCCAACACCTTAAGATATTAGGTTATGGGTCATATTTCCTTATATGTTGTTCAATTTTCTCAACGTAGGACTTAACTCAAACTTGGATTACCCAACAATCTCCCACTTTGACCCACTGTCAATCAACCTTTGGCTTTGATATCACTTGTTAGGTCTTTCGAGAGGGATTTACAGGGGAGAAACACATCAATGAGACATGAGTCCAACTCATATAAGGAATTGACACCACTCTCAACCCAAAACCTTAAGGAATTCAGTTATGAGTCATACTTCCTTATATGTTATTCAACTTTCTTATTCTTACTCAATGTGGGACTTAACTCAAACTTGGATTACCCAACAGGGTAGGAGCCACATTCAAAACTTGCAATACTCCCATTGTGAACTCGTCCAAAGGGAATCAAACTTGCAAATCCTTCACAAGGTCAGTATACATGTAGAAGAAGTCCTTAGACCACCCCTCGTAGCCATGACAAATGTTGTTTATAGCACAACACCTCCCGAGGGAAGTCAAGTTCTCGTCACCTCTCAACCATGCGCTGGCTCACAGCAAACAATGGAAAAACCAATGACCAATGATACTTCAATAAATACCCCTTTACATGAGAGTCAACTCATGAATAACCCTCCCTAAGCGAAATGTTTGATTGTGCTAGCTCTGCAGCAGTTGGGCACCCTCATCTTTGCCCCCTTTTGCGAACCGACACCCAACATGGCGTTCCCACTACAATCTCTAGAAGCTAAAGGCATAGAACAAGTGGTGTCAACATTATCTATCCCTTTTACAACGATTCACTACCTCTCACATTGCCCGCATGAACCCACCCAGAAGCTCTTCGGTTGTAGAGGATGATAAGGACAACATCTCTTACCAATACTCGATGAAACAGCAAAGGCAATCGAAGCAATCACAACAATAACACTCTCGGAGCTCATAATAATGGGTGGTCCCAAATAGACCCACCATGTACTTATAGGCAAATATGGCACACCAATCGAAGCGTTACATGTCCCCAACTATTAGATTTTATCGTTCTTACGATAGAAAATTGTGATATGATTGCATGTCACATCCAACTTTTTGCCAATTAGTCCCAAAATTGCACACGTCGAAGATGAAATTTCTTTGAGATGATTTGAAAGGTCGGAGGCCGGCAGACAAAGAGAAATAAAGACGATAGTCATAGCCAATAAGAGCAACTTTGTTTTCGCCAAAAAATGTCACTTGTAAAATTCTCAGTCGCCAAGAAGCACTACTAAAAAGTTAGTTATTTTTTGCAATTTTTCAGTGTAAAAAATTATTTAAATTTGTAGGAAATTTATTTCTTGCCACTTTTATAAAAAGTTTGAAAAAATATTCTCATAAAGTATGAGAATTTCTAGTAATGAAGCTCCCTCGAACTTGGGGGGCAAAATAAATTATAGGTGTACAAATGATCCCACATGACACCGTATATTAAACTCAATTTATTACTATAGAATGAAAATGAAATTAAAATGAAAAATAAAATATATAAGAAGTTCATTCACTATAATATATAAAAGTATAAATATGTGTTATTAAATATAAAAAAAAATTGAGAAAAATTTAAGATTAAGAATAGTCTTCATATACATAAACTTTGTTCAACGTAGGAAGAAGCTTAGGCATAGCATATGACTGATGACCAATATTGTTTTGGCCTCGTATAACATTCAATATTTGCTTTTATGAAAGGTGTTAAGAGTGAACTTGTACACAATTTTGATTAATAGAAATTAGAATTTTTTTTAGAGAGAGTCTTCTTTTTTATTTGGAGAGTTCATATCATGAATGAAGTTATCGAGACCATCTTTCATCTTGTTTATCATTTAAAGAGTAGTTTTAGTCAAAATTTAACCCATTTTAAAAAATTTACAAGAATGAAATTTAATTTTTCAACTCATCATTTTCTTCCCCTCATCTTTTGTATATCTGACAATTAATCATTTACCTCATCTTATAAATCATTAATTTCAAGAAACCATATCATACACCAAGTTAAACCAAGACCGATCTCATTCATTTTAAGAACCTCCAAAAATGTTAACCTAACCAATCTTCAAAGAAAGGTATTTTATAGGATAATAATACCCATCCTACTTTAAGTAAGAATCTTTGGACATTACATAGAGAAAAATATGTTGTCCATCTTTCATGTTTTTGCACACCATTTTTTTTCGAACTAGTGTGTTTGACCTATTTGGGATTGAAGTTATAACTTTGATGTTTGACTTGATTATAAAGGAAATGTAAATATTTTTTATAAACTATTAGTTATTAAAATTTATAAGTTACTCTTATGTTGTTCTTGGATTGGTGGTTGTTTCGTAAGGTCAAAATTCCTCACAAGACCACATGGGTGTCCAAGTCTTCAAGTATCCCGACATTCTTGTTTTTCATGGAAAGTCTTGGTATGTGTACCTACCGATTTAGCATTGTCAAATTATTTGTAAAAGACACTCAGATACTCAAATCAGTTAGAATTATATTAGGAGAAAGAGAGAGTAAATAATTTTTATACCCTAAAATTATCGTATCTTTATAATAATTATGATGGACCTTTTCATATACTTTGACCATTTCACCATATATTGATCATTCCTCCTTTATTATTATGTTTATATTTAATTTATATTTAATAAATATTATTATATTTTAAAATTTTTATTAATTTTTAAGATCGAAATTCGGGATCGCAAATGGAATTCCGACCTTCCACTAAAAATGTATCATTTAAGTAAATAACAGATACAATGTATTATTCACGCATATTTAATTCAATTGACTGTTAAATTTGAAAAAGAAAATAAATTTTAAATTAATTATAATTATTCTCTTTTAAAAAAAATATAAGTTGTGGTATTGAATAAAAACTCTCAAACAAATCAAATTGAAAATTTGTGATATTGAGAAAAATTCAAATAAATTCTAACATTATTTAAAGTTTTAACGTTTTAACACGACCATAATAAAGGAGATAGGATTTTGATAAAAGCAAAATTGAAAGTTCAAAGATTATAACATTTCATTTAAATACGTGCTTTTAATAAGGTAAAATTTAAAATAAAATGAGATATTCTTTAAAGTTTAAAAACTCCTAAGATGATAACATCTCATTTAAATACATGCTTAAATTAAAAATAAAATATGATATTCTTTAAAGTTTGAAAGTTCCAAGATGATAACATCTTATTTAAATATCTGCTTTTAATAAGGTAAAATTTAAAATAAAATATGGTATTCTTTAACGTTTGAAAGTTCCAAGAAAATAAAATATAACTCTTAAGATCAAATATGATTTTGAACGTTACAAGATGATAATACCAAACTCAAAGCATTTATGATAATACCAAAGTCAAAGTATTTATTATAATATTTATTACTCTTTAAATTTAAAAATATATAATATTTTTAAATAAAAAATATTTTAAAATATTAACGTTTTGAGTAGATAATAAAACGATTAACCATTTTGTCTCTTATCCATAAAAAAAATATATTATTATTAGGGATGGTAAAATAGGTTAATTTGTCAAAATGCTATTAGTTAATTGTAGTAATGACGGACTATAGGTCTTAGTCTATCCATATTTCTTATTTTCTTTTATTTTATTATTTTTAAATTAAATTTTTTAATAAATTTAATAATAAAATTATTATTATCAACAATTCTATATATATATATATATATATATATATATATATATAAACTTGTCTTATACTTTACCTATCCAAATTCTTATTGTTTACAGAGATGACAAAACTACATATGGTTTCTCCGGGAACAGTTCTGATAATTGTTCTCTGCGCATTGTTCACTAATAATGCAATGGCAATTAGTCGCTCAAGTGGACTCGACAATCATCTTTTAAAAGAAAATTCAGCAAGTTCAGATCCAATCCCTCAGAGAGCACTACAACATGGTAATGTTTACCGTGTCACAAGAACGAGTCCTGGAGGTCCAGATCCAAGACACCACCACCTTCGCTTTCATCATGTTTAACAGAATCCGTGTATTGTAAACTTTATCATATTTGAATAAAGATTCAATTAAATAAAGCTTAAAGAAAATTTCAAAAATCTTTATTTAAGCTCGTTTCTTTGTATGCCGCTTTAAATAAAGTAGTAATAAATTTTAAATCATCAAAATAATTTGAAGCTTTGGACAATCGATGTGGGATGGACGTTGTACAACGCCACCCATGCCACCTGAGACGTCAAAAATTATTGTTTCATATCTTCTTCGGCTCCTCGGTAAGCTTCGATCTCTCTCCTCACAGGTCAATTTCGTCTGCTTCAACATTTTATTTTATTTTTTATTTATATTATATAAAGAATCTTTTTAATTATTTTTTATAATTTAAAATATAATATTAATATATATATATATATATATATATATATATATATTGTTAGTCGTGATTTATTAAATCGAATATAATTAAAATCATAAATATTAGTATATATATATATATATATATATATATATATTATTTAATCTGACACTTCTTTTTTACTCTTAGTAATAAAATTTATACTTATAATACTATTATTTTAATATTAATATTTATAAAATGATATTAATAATAAGAATGATAATAAAAATAATATAATAATACTTATTATTTAAATTAATAATACAAAGAAAATTGATATTTATTTTATTATTAATTATAGTAAAAAAATATTAATAAAATAATTAATAGATTAAAATTATTAATAATATCAATTATAATATATTATTATTATTATTTTAATTGTATTAAAAATAAAACATAACACAACTTCTTCATTTTAAAATTATATTTTCTAACACGCTTGTATGATTTTGGCTCTCTCTAATGTTAAAATAAATAATTAAATATATTATAAGGAAAAAAATGGAAGGAATAAATTAAATAAAAAAGATTAAAAGTATTTTTATTTTTTTATCTTTTCATCTTCTTCCACTCTTTATATTTTATCATTAATGATAATATTAATTTGTATTTAATTGTTTATCTAATTTTCATGGTTCTTAAAACCAGACCAGGTCATCAAACTGGTGAACAAATGAATTTATGGTTCAAAGATTTAACCGAGGTTTAACCGGAAATTAAACCGGAGTTAAACTGAATTTAATAAAATAATATATTTTAATAATAAAATAATACATTGAACTTAAAATAAGTTTATCATAACATAATAACAATTCCAATCCAATATAAATACCATTTAAAAAAGTATTATATAATAATAATAATAATAATGATTTGTAGAATACGTAAAGAAAGAAAATATAAATAAACATATCATCAAACACTTGGACTATAAAACAATAAAAAAAATTATCATTAGACCTAACTTGAAAATAATTAGGAAAAAAAATTACAACTAACTTAAAAATAATTAGGAAAAAAACTACATCTAACTTGAAAACAATTAAAAGGAAAAAATATCATCATAATTTTTATTACATCTAACTTCAAATTATACATTTATTTTAAGATATGTTATCAAACCCAAGGATAACTCATTACATTTAACCTAATGCGGACTCATCAAATTAATTTTTTAAATTAAAAAATTGTGACTCTTACATATTATTGTATTTTCATGAATGATAGTTATGATAATAATAGACAACAATGACACAAATGACGACGCCGGAAGAAGACAACAATCAAAGGTAGTGGGTGGCGGTGCGATTACAATTGTAAAAGTGAAGACTGTATTGAAAGAAAAATACCATCACCAATTCAAAAAATAATTTTCTCTCTTCACGTTTGTGTATCTCTTTGTTAAACTAAAGAAGGAAAATAAAATATAGGTAAAAACGACATTATTTAGTCCTTAAAAAAAACGGATGACCCCTTGACCCATCTAGTTTCATATATTTTTCTGATTTTTAACCGATTTATCCGATTTTTGACTATTTCATTATTTATCCAATTTTTAAAAAGCTTCAGATTGGTTATCAAACCTATTCCTGGTCCAACCGGTTGGACCGACCGGTTCGATTTTGATAATCATGCTAATTTCTACTTTCAAATTCATTTTCCTTCTCTCTTTCTCCCTCGTTGGTGCATATTTGAAATTAGATCCATTGTCCACCATATTGCATTCTTTCTTCTATGCTGGTAGTTTAGCTTGACAGTATATATAAAGATACTTTTTTCTCATCTTTTCACACGGTTTATTCTATTATTGTTTGTTATTTTGATTTTTGTAGAGGAACATTTGTTGTTTGAGAAAAAATATTTTTGTTTTTATTATCAATTTTTATGATTCTATAATTAGAAAAATAATAATTAAAGGTGTAATTAGATTCTTAAATTTTATTTTAGTTTTTTTTCTAAATATGAAGCATAAAAGAATATATTCATTTTTTAAAAGTGATAAAAGAGATGAAAACAAATTCAATTCAACAACTTCTACTATTTCAAAACATGACATTGGTGATCCAATTATTCAACTAGAAAAACTCATTTCTAAGATTCATAAAATCACAACCAATGAATTTAATATTAATTCTTTGAAGCATGACTTGACAAAACGTCTTCTTCAAATATATGAATATCCTATGAATCAAAGAGATGAAATTAGAAGAGTTTATTTAAATCGGGTCCATATCAAATACAACTTAAAAACTACCATTTTTCAAAAAAGAAACATGTTAGGCGATTTCAATATGCTTGGTTTTAAATGTTTTCTTTTTGGTTGGAGTATTCTCCAACTAGTGATGGAACTTATTGTTTGTCATGTTATCTATTTAGTACAATGTCAAATGGTAATCCTGGGTCAAATGTGTTTATTAGAAATGGATTTAGATAATTGAAAAAGGTTAATACAGGAAAGAATTGTGTGTTTCTTAGTCAAATCTACCATGTTTGAATTATGTTAATATTTGATAAAAGGTATATTTTTCTTAATTGATCATTTAATTCATCTTATTTAAACTCTTCATGTTTCTACATCTATAACTAAGAGATCACTTTTTGCAATGAAGATTATCAAAACAAGACACAAAAAGAAATAGCTAAAAAATTTAATTCTGAATTCATTATTGATGAGTTCAAACATTTAAAAAAACAAAAGGCGGAACTTTAAATAAATATCTTACTTTTTAGTTATTATTATATAATTATTTTTATAATTGACCCCTAGACTGACCGGTCAAGATTCGCCACTGATTTGAACAATTAAAAATTCATTATGCATTACATATGATTTTAACTAACAATTTTAAAATCACTAATTACAAGATTAATGATTAATTACGTAAGTACACACAATTTTCTCTTATTCCCCAGATGGTTTGCATATCCTATGCCATAAAATATGTTTTGGTTCAATTTTTTTTTTTTATAAACAAGGTTAAATGTTCTTGAAAGGTTGAGAACCTATTGCCGAATGGTGACCTGGCTTTGTGCTTCAGATGACATGCCACTAAGTATTTGGGATCTCGCTCCTCGATATATTATTTACGTGAGGAGTGTAGTCGATGTTCATGCCAAAGACACTTTGACGCTCAAGTCAATCAAACTAAATAACTAGATAGAATTAATGCATGTCATTTTATCTTGAAAGTATCACCTATTTATACTACTTTATGGGCCCTCTATGGGTTTTGAGGAAATTCGTCCTTTCTACTTTTTGGTCTGTGGCTACCATGTAAAGGTTGCTCGTGTGGCTATAGTGCCATGTGGGATCAATCGTATACCTATAGTTTATTTTGCCCCCTAAGTTGGAGGGAGCTTGGCAACAGAGAATTTTACAAGTGACATTCTTCGGAGAAAATAAAGTTGCTCTTACTAACTCTAGCTGCCATCTTTGGTTCTCTTTGCCTGTTGGCCTCCACGTTTTCGAATCATTAGGAAGAAATTTTATCTCCTTGGCGCATGCGGTTTTGTTGACTCAATAGGCGAGAAGTTGGATATGACATGCGATCACGTCACGATTTTCTATCTAAGAACGACAAAATCTGATAGTTAGGGGTGTGTAACACTTCGATTGGTTTGACATATTTTCCTATATAAGTATATGGTGGGTCTACTTGGGGTTGAACATTATTATGAGCTCCGAGTTTCGAGAGTGTTCTTGTTGTGATTGTTTTGATTGCCTTTGTTGTTTCCTCGAGTATTAGTACAAGATGTCGTCCTTGTCATCCTTTGCAACTGAAGAGCTTTTGGATGGGTTCATGCGAGCAACATGAGAGATAACAGATTGTTGTAGAGGGGATAGTGTGGACACCACTTGTTTTGTACCTTCGGCTTCTAGTGATTGTAATGGGGACGCCATGTCAGGTGTCAATTCGCAAAGGGGGGTGGGGCAAAGATAAGGATGCCCAGTTGTCGCGGAGCTAGCACAGTTAGACCTTACTTAGGATTGCACGACTGTAAAACTATTACCCTACTCGAAGTCGCACGAGTATAAAACTATTATCTTACTTGGGGTTGAACAAGTATAAAACTATTACTCCACTCGAGGTCACATGAGTTATACATGTCTTACTCAGGTATATGAGTTATAAAAACCTACATATACTTTATTTTGGGTCACACAAGTAATACATACCTTGCTTAGATATATGAGTTATCAAAACTTGCATCTACCTTACTCGAGGTCACACGAGTTATAGATTTCTTACTCAAGGTCACACGAGTTATTAAAACCTGCATTTATCGTACTTGAGGTCACAAAAGTTATACGAGTTATCAAGTTATACGGAGTAAATTTCACAAATATATCTTGATCGGGTTGAATAATAGTTTATAAAATAAACACGTTCAAACTGAACACTACTCGATGAAATGATCAACTTAACCTTAATTGTTTGGCCTCTGTTTCTAATGGAATTCAAACTTTGAGTTTGGGGGACTTGTGTACCTATTCGATCCAAATCCATTAAAATTACTTTATTTATTTAATTAACTTGTTATGTATTATTAATTATCTTTTCTTTGTTATAATATCTCATATCCGTTATTATCTTTTGAACTATCAGTTATTATTTGTTGGACT